CCCCAAAACCCCAAAACCCCAAAACCCCAAAACCCCAATAATCATAAATAACACTGAATTGTTAAAAGCCATTATTTAGGCCACCTCTTACTTTTTAGGAGTTCTTTTGAATTTGGAAGGTGAATTAGTGACAGTCTTGAGAGATTTTGCTGAGGAAACTGGCCTGATTCTTGGTTTTGGAATAGTCCCGTTTGGATTCCTTCTAGCAGAATGTACTCTGGAAGTCTTCATAAATGTAGATTTTAGATTTATTCGCTTTACAGACTCGTTTGGAACTTTATGATCCAAGATATCTCTGTTGAATTGATCAAAAGCTGATACTACATGCTCAGGAATGATAGGTCCTTTATGTACTGCAGTACCAGGTCTCATCCTGCTATGTGCTCTGCTTCCTGACAAGAAATTATGTGCATCTGAATTCTCTATAGCAGTATTACAGTAGTTACAAACCTTGATTTTCCATCTCATTGTATTTTATTACAGCCTCTTTGATTGGCTTCTCATGCTTCCTCTTTTGGAATAGATTATTTAACTCTCATATGGTTTTTATTTTCCGTAATCTTCTTTATATTGTCTGTATAGTAATTCCTAGCAGTCTGGGGCCTCACACCCATCCTCATATTTCGAGACTTTAGTGCTGGATGGTGCTTGGAAATTCGTGAAAGATTGGAATTATGGATACTTTTAGGGCTATAAAAACTCTTCTTACTGCTTCCAGGACGATTCGTGAAAATAGTGCTGTTTTTCTTTGAAGCATTAAAGTTGACCCTCTTTTCAACTACTTCTTCCTGCAGTATTTTAGCTTTAGCCAAGTTCCCAGTTATTTTAGTGATTAATTTTCGTCCTGTTTTAGGCCTTTTCTTCGAAGTTGAGCTTGCCCTTAGCTTCTGGACGTCAAGCAAGTTCCCTTCTTTTGGGTTGAAGATACTATCACTTGCTTGAGAAATGAAATCTTCTCCTTTGTCCCCAGGAATTTTGGACTGTGAGTCGTTTCCTGTTTTCTCATACCTCACCTTGTCCGCGTTGTTATTTTGGCAAAGGATGTAATAATCATTCAAAGTCATTCTATTTGTTTTCTCGAATTCTGGACCAGATATAAATCTCCCGTTTGTTTCAATGCTGACACCAGGCTCGAGCTGAATTGCATCAGAAGGATCAGGGGCACAATCCTGAAGTGTCCCCATGAACGTTGTTTCTGAATTATGAGTTCTTTTAAGGAACAGGGAGGAATCTATCGGTCTTGGTCTCTTCTTTTTGGTTTTCTTATGCTTCTTATCGCTTTGATTTTCAGGATCAATGATGATTCCTGGTTCAACTTTCTTGACAAGTCTATGCATAAGAACAAATTTTTACCTATTCTCAGGAACTTTCTTGATCATAAGTACTTTCCCATGATGGTCATAGGTTATCTTCTTGTTCTTAAAATCAGTTGTGTGTTCAGATCTTTGAAGAGCCTTATTTAAGCTCTTGTTCTCTTTTCTTTCTCTCTGCTAATTCTTGTTCCTTATTTAAGTTGATTTACCTCTTGTTTATCCTTTCTATCCCTCAAACGTTTCTCTTCTATTGAAACTTCAGGAGGTGCAAGGTCTTCTAAAGGAAATTGAGGATGTGCTGGCTCATTCTTTAAGTCAAGGTCACCTCCATTTACCTTTTCTTCCTTAGATTCAACCCTTTTGAACAGTTTTTTATGTTTAAATTTCATAGTTGATTTGGATTTTAAAGAGTTCTTCCCACTTTTCTTACTAATAGTAGAAGCGTCGATGAAAGAGTTTCCTTTCTCATGACTGTGAGTGACTCCTGCAAGAATATCTAGTTGAAACATATTGAGCTCATCAATATCAAAATCAGAGTATTCTATTTTATCCACTTTCTGAACAGGTCAGTTTCTTGATACCCATCTATCAATTTTCGGTCTGATAGGTTCTTCAATAGACTCATACTCATAATCCCCCATTTTCGAGGCTATCTTATCATATCTTACTTGCCCTAGTAGTACTAGTTCACATAAATGGATGCCTATAAACTCTAACGAGTATGGTTTTGCCATTTCCTTGATATATCTATCATAAATAACCCCTTCTGTTTGCTTTAAAGCTTCTTGGACTGACTCTACTGCACATCAGAGTGCTACTTCTGAAGCGCCCATCACTTCTATATCTTCCGCTCTTAACTTATGACTATCGCTCAGCTCCAGCTGGTTTTGGCTTTCCATATGAAATTTTATTTTTAAAAATCTAGCTTTGGGTTATTTTTTGGGGTTTTGGGGTTTTGGGGTTTTGGGGTTTTGGGG